AAAAAAAAAAAAAAAAAAAAAAAACCACCACCCACATCTCTGGGGGACAGAAGTTGACTAAAATTGTGTTGTTTTGTTTTAAATTTGAATAGCAAAAATACAATTCCATCTATGGTTCATCCCCTAGGTGGGCGAAGGCATGGAGTGAAAGAAGATCTAGGGGATTAAGGGAAGGTAAGGAGGAACCCAAGGGGTAGTTCATACTGTAAATTCAGTCTTGATTTTGAATTTTAATAATTTTTTGGGTCGGGTTATGTGGAATTTATTTTTCATAAATACTTTAGTCAAAGATGATTTGTTTTTGATCGGTCTAAAAAGAGCATTAGTCGAAGTGCGTGTAAGTTGGTACATACATTATTAATGGTTGAACCAATAAAAAAAACAAAAAACAAAAATCAAAAAAATTGAGNATTTTAATAATTTTTGGGTCGGGTTATGAGGAATTTATTTTTCATAAATACTTTAGTCAAAGATGATTTGTTTTTGACCGGTCTAAAAAGAGCATTAGTCGAAGTGCGTGTAAGTTGGTACATACATTATTAATGGTTGAACCAATAAAAAAAACAAAAAACAAAAAACAAAAAAATTGAGGCTGGAAGTTTGCTCATTCATTAAAAATGGATCGACTTTGTTTATTTATTAAACGGATTGAGCTTGAATTTCCGAATTTACTTGTCCTCCTGCTACTCTGTCTTGACTCTTGAGTGAAGGTATGAACCCCAAATTGTTATTGAAAAATATATTTCAAATGATGAGTGTTGTAGGCCTAGTATTNACAAAAAAATTGAGGCTGGAAGTTTGCTCATTCATTAAAAATGGATCGACTTTATTTATTAAACGGATTGAGCTTGAATTTCCGAATTTACTTGTCCTCCTGCTACTCTGTCTTGACTCTTGAGTGAAGGTATGAACCCCAAATTGTTATTGAAAAATATATTTCAAATGATGAGTGTTGTAGGCCTAGTATTTAATGGACCCTTCCCATGAGATGAAGTATGGCACTTCCCAGATGATGTACAATGCCACGTAGTGGTGATGATTTTTGGCATCAAACGATAATACAAGTTGAGGATTTTTGACACGAATACAAAAATGATACGACACGAATCCAATACTATATTATATTTAATTTGGTTTTTAATAAGAAATTTGAAGTGCATAACCTCATTTTCTTTTCTTTTCTCTTTTTTCATTTTTAGTAATCCTATCTTGATAACAGATTTAATCTTATTCGATCTTACTTTCAAAAAGAAAACCCTTATCCATAGTCAAATATACATATTTTTATTTTTAGAATTAGCAAAAATCGTTTAGTACAGTGCATGGAATTTTCACCACTCTCTCGAATTAAATCATAGCCTCCAGCTATCCTAACCCTTGTTAAAAGTTTAAAGTAAACTTTTGGTAATTATTGTATCTAAAATTTTGTAGAACATGTTTGCACTTTGTATCCTTATACCAACATCTAGAACCTTCATCTTCTCACAATTAAATTAGAATTCTTGAACCTTCCAAACCTCCACCTACCTTGAGCTTCTAGACCCTTCTCAAATTACCTATAAATAGACCCCCCACCACCCCAAATCACCAAGCCAACAAAAAGCAAATCACCAACAACAATTACCATTGCAAGCTTGTTCCTGCTTTCTCTTTTGTAAGTCTTTGATTGTAAGCTTGTAACTTAGGTTTCTCTATAATAATAAAGGTCTTGTTCTTCCCTCATTTTTTGGAGGTATATTCTAATTTCTTCGTTCTTCTTCAACTTTGGTTGTGAGTCTTGGGCTGGTGGAAATTTATTTTTTACTATTCTAAGAAAGCAATTTTCAAAATTTAGAATTTGTGTTTCTTCACATGGTATCAGAGCTATAAGAGTGTTAAGTTGAAATCTTGTCAAGAGTGTTAAGTTGAAATCTTGTCAAGACATTTTTGGTGAAGAAGTTTGTTGGCGTTCCAAATATGGATTCAAATGAAAGGGTTGTTGGCCTTGGGATTGAGGCGCTCAATCAATCTAACTACAAGGTATGGAGATCATGCATGAAGTCTTATCTTCTTGGAAAAGACTTGTGGGAGGTTGTTGGTGGAGATGATAAGGTGGCTCCTACACCCACGGAAGATAATGCCGATGCCGTAAAGAAGTGGAGGACTTCTAATGTAAATGCGGAGTTCGTGTTGAAGAGATTCATCTCTCATGATTTGTTCGATCATATAGTTGTGTGTAAGTCAGCGCTTGAGATATGGAATACCCTTAATGGGTTGTTCAACAAGAAAAATGTTGCCCGGCTACAATATTTGGAGAATGAATTGGCGAATACTACTCAAGGTAATCTCTCTATCTCTCAATTTTTCTTGAAAATTAAAAATCTTTGTTTAGAAATTTCTTCTCTTGATCCGGAGGAACCTATGTCGGAAGCGCGGATGAAACGGAATATTCTTCGTGGATTGAAAAAGGAGTACATTCCTTTCGTTACTTCTATTCAAGGGTGGGCTCAAGAGCCATCCCTTGTTGAGTTTGAGAATCTTCTCTCTTCTCAAGAGTCTCTAGCGCAATAAATGGTGGGGGTTTCTTTATCTTCTCAAGGAGATGCCTTGTTCTCCGGAAAGAAGAAATTTTACAAAAAAGAGAAAGATAAGGAGAAAAGGAAAGATGGAGATGGAGAGCCATCAAGGATTGAGAATGGCAGCAAAAGTAGTATCAAATGTTATTGTTGTCATAAGATTGGGCACATCAGGAAAAATTGTTGAGTGAAGTTGAAGGGTGGCAGTGTAGCTGAAAAAAGTAACGAGGTCGAAGAAAATTGAGATAATTGTTTCTTAGCGGAAACTACCTCAGTTAATAGTTGTGCTACCATCAACTTCAAGGAAGATTGGATCATGGACTCCAGTTGTGGGCATCATCTTACTGGCGACGACACCAAGTTCTCTTGTCTTCAAAATTATGAAGGTAATGAGACTATTATCATCGCGGATAATACAGTTCATCTAGTAGAGAAGGAAGGTATCATCACCTTCAACAACAATGGTGATCCTATCACTCTAAAGAGTGTGTGTCATGTACCGGGTATGAAAAAGAATTTCTTTTCGGTGGCTAATGCGGTGGATTCCGGTCACTATGTTTTGTTTGGGCCTAACGAGGTAAAATTTTTCCGGAAAGTGTCCAAGGTCGAAGGAGATGTCGTCCATACCAGTAAAAGAGTTAAAGATTTATTTGTTCTATCTACTTCAACTTCTTATGTTGATAAAATGAGCACAAATGATAATGCTTCTCTTTGGCATGCTAAACTAGGACACCTAAATATGGATAAGTTAAAAGTCATGGTGAATAAAAATTTGGTTGATGGTTTGCCTCATAGTACTACCTTTAGTAATGGAGAACTATGTGAAGGCNTTCAAATGATGAGTGTTGTAGGCCTAGTATTTAATGGACCCTTCCCATGAGATGAAGTATGGCACTTCCCAGATGATGTACAATGCCACGTAGTGGTGATGATTTTTGGCATCAAACGATAATACAAGTTGAGGATTTTTGACACGAATACAAAAATGATACGACACGAATCCAATACTATATTATATTTAATTTGGTTTTTAATAAGAAATTTGAAGTGCATAACCTCATTTTCTTTTCTTTTCTCTTTTTTCATTTTTAGTAATCCTATATTGATAACAGATTTAATCTTATTCGATCTTACTTTCAAAAAGAAAACCCTTATCCATAGTCAAATATACATATTTCTATTTTTAGAATTAGCAAAAATCGTTTAGTACAGTGCATGGAATTTTCACCACTCTCTCGAATTAAATCATAGCCTCCAGCTGTCCTAACCCTTGTTAAAAGTTTAAAGTAAACTTTTGGTAATTATTGTATCTAAAATTTTGTAGAACATGTTTGCACTTTGTATCCTTATACCAACATCTAGAACCTTCATCTTCTCACAATTAAATTAGAATTCTTGAACCTTCCAAACCTCCACCTACCTTGAGCTTCTAGACCCTTCTCAAATTACCTATAAATAGACCCCCCACCACCCCAAATCACCAAGCCAACAAAAAGCAAATCACCAACAACAATTACCATTGCAAGCTTGTTCCTGCTTTCTCTTTTGTAAGTCTTTGATTGTAAGCTTGTAACTTAGGTTTCTCTATAATAATAAAGGTCTTGTTCTTCCCTCATTTTTTGGAGGTATATTCTAATTTCTTCGTTCTTCTTCAACTTTGGTTGTGAGTCTTGGGCTGGTGGAAATTTATTTTTTACTATTCTAAGAAAGCAATTTTCAAAATTTAGAATTTGTGTTTCTTCACATGGTATCAGAGCTATAAGAGTGTTAAGTTGAAATCTTGTCAAGAGTGTTAAGTTGAAATCTTGTCAAGACATTTTTGGTGAAGAAGTTTGTTGGCGTTCCAAATATGGATTCAAATGAAAGGGTTGTTGGCCTTGGGATTGAGGCGCTCAATCAATCTAACTACAAGGTATGGAGATCATGCATGAAGTCTTATCTTCTTGGAAAAGACTTGTGGGAGGTTGTTGGTGGAGATGATAAGGTGGCTCCTACACCCACGGAAGATAATGCCGATGCCGTAAAGAAGTGGAGGACTTCTAATGTAAATGCGGAGTTCGTGTTGAAGAGATTCATCTCTCATGATTTGTTCGATCATATAGTTGTGTGTAAGTCAGCGCTTGAGATATGGAATACCCTTAATGGGTTGTTCAACAAGAAAAATGTTGCCCGGCTACAATATTTGGAGAATGAATTGGCGAATACTACTCAAGGTAATCTCTCTATCTCTCAATTTTTCTTGAAAATTAAAAATCTTTGTTTAGAAATTTCTTCTCTTGATCCGGAGGAACCTATGTCGGAAGCGCGGATGAAACGGAATATTCTTCGTGGATTGAAAAAGGAGTACATTCCTTTCGTTACTTCTATTCAAGGGTGGGCTCAAGAGCCATCCCTTGTTGAGTTTGAGAATCTTCTCTCTTCTCAAGAGTCTCTAGCGCAATAAATGGTGGGGGTTTCTTTATCTTCTCAAGGAGATGCCTTGTTCTCCGGAAAGAAGAAATTTTACAAAAAAGAGAAAGATAAGGAGAAAAGGAAAGATGGAGATGGAGAGCCATCAAGGATTGAGAATGGCAGCAAAAGTAGTATCAAATGTTATTGTTGTCATAAGATTGGGCACATCAGGAAAAATTGTTGAGTGAAGTTGAAGGGTGGCAGTGTAGCTGAAAAAAGTAACGAGGTCGAAGAAAATTGAGATAATTGTTTCTTAGCGGAAACTACCTCAGTTAATAGTTGTGCTACCATCAACTTCAAGGAAGATTGGATCATGGACTCCAGTTGTGGGCATCATCTTACTGGCGACGACACCAAGTTCTCTTGTCTTCAAAATTATGAAGGTAATGAGACTATTATCATCGCGGATAATACAGTTCATCTAGTAGAGAAGGAAGGTATCATCACCTTCAACAACAATGGTGATCCTATCACTCTAAAGAGTGTGTGTCATGTACCGGGTATGAAAAAGAATTTCTTTTCGGTGGCTAATGCGGTGGATTCCGGTCACTATGTTTTGTTTGGGCCTAACGAGGTAAAATTTTTCCGGAAAGTGTCCAAGGTCGAAGGAGATGTCGTCCATACCAGTAAAAGAGTTAAAGATTTATTTGTTCTATCTACTTCAACTTCTTATGTTGATAAAATGAGCACAAATGATAATGCTTCTCTTTGGCATGCTAAACTAGGACACCTAAATATGGATAAGTTAAAAGTCATGGTGAATAAAAATTTGGTTGATGGTTTGCCTCATAGTACTACCTTTAGTAATGGAGAACTATGTGAAGGCTGTCAATATGGTAAGGCACATCGCCTTTCCATTTCATAGATCCCAAACAAGATATAAGGCACCATTGGAGCTTATTCATAGTGACGTGATGGGTCCTACTTGTACATGTACCTTTTCTGGTTATTGCTATATGGTGGTCTTTGTTGATGATTTTACTCGATTTACTTGGGTGTATTTTGTAGAAAGAAAATCTGAAGTGATTTCAGGTTTATGGAATTTAAAGAGAAGGTTGAAGGTGAGCTCCAAAGGAAGATCAAACTGTTGACGACCGATAATGGAGGAGAATATACTTCTCAGGAGTTCAATATCTTTTGCTCAAAGCATGGCATCGGAGGCAGCTTACTTGTGCTGACACTTCTTTGCAAAATGGCATAGCAGAAAGGAAAATTCAACATCTCACCGAGACATGCAAGAGCTGGTTGTATGCCAAAAATTTAACCAAAGTCCTATGGGTAGAGGGTATCGCTTGTGCAGCCTTTGTGANGGAGGCAGCTTACTTGTGCTGACACTTCTTTGCAAAATGGCATAGCAGAAAGGAAAATTCGACATCTCACCGAGACATGCAAGAGCTGGTTGTATGCCAAAAATTTAACCAAAGTCCTATGGGTAGAGGGTATCGCTTGTGCAGCCTTTGTGATTAATCGGATCCCTTTTAGCCCAATTAATATGAAGTCTCCATATGAGATGATGTATAATGAGAAACCCAATGTGAAAGACTTCATGGTCTTTGGTTCAGTTCGTTATGTTCATATTCCAGATTCATAGAGATCCAAATTGGATGCCAAGGCGAGAAAATGTATCTTCATCGGTTATGATGAAAGGAAAAAAGGGTGGAAATGCATGGACCCTGAAACTCGCAAATGTAAAGTTTCTCGAGATGTGGTGTTTGATGNGTCTTCATCAGTTATGATGAAAGGAAAAAAGGGTGGAAATGCATGGACCCTGAAACTCGCAAATGTAAAGTTTCTCGAGATGTGGTGTTTGATGAAATCTCTTGTTACTATAGCCCTGGTGGTGTCTTTGTCGGTACTCCTTCAACAATTAAAGAATATGAAGAATTGCCCATGAGCTTGCCAGTGACTTCTTCGACTCCTACTTCTTCTAGTATCTCATTATCACCGTCATCACTAGTAATGTCTAAAAACTTTTCTTCTTCAGAATTAAGGGAATCTAGTGATAGGGGGAGCGAAGTTAATTCTCGCGAGGTGGAGCAAGAGGAGAATGCTAACTTGGAGGGAACAAATGCTCCAAAAATGACTCGGTTCGGAAGGCAAGTCATTAAGCCAATTCGTTATCCAGATGGTAATTTGGTAAGCACCTGTCATTGCTTTAGTGTTGGTCCTATTTATGAAAATGAGCCATCTTTTTCTGATGAAGCAAAATGTGTTAAAGAATGGGAGGAAGCCATGGATGAAGAGATGCACGCACTTATAAACAATAAAATTTGGGATCTTGTGTCAAAACCCAAAGATGTGAAGCTGGTGTCTCACAAATGGGTGCACAAATTGAAAAAGANTTGATGAAGCAAAATGTGTTAAAGAATGGGAGGAAGCCATGGATGAAGAGATGCACGCACTTATAAAAAATAAAATTTGGGATCTTGTGCCAAAACCCAAAGATGTGAAGCTGGTGTCTCACAAATGGGTGCACAAATTGAAAAAGAAAGCATACAGGAGCATTGATAGATTCAAAGAAAGGCTTGTTGCAAAAGGCTTCTCTCAAGTATATGGAGAAGATTATGAAGAGACTTNGAAAGCATACAGGAGCATTGATAGATTCAAAGAAAGGCTTGTTGCAAAAGGCTTCTCTCAAGTATATGGAGAAGATTATGAAGAGACTTTTAGCCTGGTAGCAAAGATGACATCTGTTCGGGTTGTGTCTCTTTAGCAGCATCTCTTGGTTGGAAGCTACATCAGCTGGATGTAAAGAATGCTTTCTTATATGGCGAAATTGATACGAAAATCTACATGGAGCAACCTCTTGGCTATGTTTTTCCAACTCACCCAGATTATGCGTGCAAACTCAAGAAGACTCTCTATGGTCTTAAACAAGCTCCGAGGGCATGGTACGGTAAGATTGCCAAGTACTTACAGTTTTGTGGTTATTTTGCTTCTAATTCAGATTCTAGTTTATTTGTAAAGAAGCAAGGATCATTACACATGATTGTTCTACTATATGTGGATGATATGATCATTTCTGGCAATGATGAACGAGAAGTTGCAAAGCTTCGGGCTGAACTTTCTATTCGATTTGAGATGAAAGATTTGGGAGAGTTAAGTCATTTTTCTTGGCTTGGAAGTGAAAAAGGTGAAGGATGCGATTTTTCTACGTCAAGAAGGCTATGCCAAGAAGCTTGTTGACAGGTTTGGAATAAATAAAAGCAAGTACTGTTCCACTTCTCTTGAGCTGAACTTTAAAATTAGGCGTGATGAAAGTAAACATTTGTCGGATCCCAACNAGCAAGGACAACATTGCTGATATCTTTACAACGTGTCTCTCCAAGGGACCATTCGAGAATCTTCGTGCGGAGCTTGGACTTATTTTCAAAAGTTTACTTTAAGGGAGAGTGTTAAAATTTTAAAGTAAACTTTTGGTAATTATTGTATCTAGAACTTTGTAGAATATGCTTGCACTTTGTATCCTTCTACCAACATTTAGAACCTTCACCTTTTCACCATTAAGTTAGAATTCTTGAACCTTCCAAACCTCTTTCTTACCATTAAGTTAGAATTCTTGAATTTTCCAAACCTTTACCTACCTTGAGCTTCTAGACCCTTCTCTAGTCACCTATAAATAGCCCCCCACCACCCCAAATCACCAAGCCAACAGAAAACAAATCACCAACAACAATTACCATTGTAAGCTTGTTCCTGCTTTCTCTTTTGTAAGTCTTTGATTATAAGCTTATAACTTAGATTTCTTCATAATAATAATTGTCTTGTTCTTTCCTCATTTTTTTGAGCTATATTCTAATTTCTTCGTTCTTCTTCAACTTTGGTTGTGAGTTTTGGGCTAGTGGAAATTTATTTTTCACTACTCTAAGAAAGAAATTTCTGGAATTTGGAATTTGTCTTTCTTCACAACTCCATCCTCCTTCAACCCCAATTTGTAATTTCTTTATATTGTTAATTAGGCTAGCGTTTTTCCATTGGTATGTAAACTAATTTTAGGCCTATCATCTAAAAAAGTTTCCCGTATTTTTAAAAAAATTACATGTGGTCCTTGTGTGGGCACAAATGCATAGGAGGTTAGATAATTAANAGGCCTATCATCTAAAAAAGTTTCCCGTATTTTTAAAAAAATTACATGTGGTCCTTGTGTGGGCACAAATGCATAGGAGGTTAGATAATTAATGTGTTTTCATTATCCATTTTGCACTCATCACATAATTTCAGGCTAATTTTTTTTTTAATTAGAAAAAATTTCAGTCACACCCATTATAATTTATCATATCTTCAAGGACATCTCTTTTTTTTATCAAAAATATCATTGACACCCCTTCTAGTTTATATTTAAATATCACTGACACGCACTGTCATTAAACCACCATTTATAACAAAAATAAATTATCTAAAATACTATAATTGCCCCTACATAAACCCCAAATAATCTTTCTACATAAAATTCAAGTCGATTAACATTCATTTTTCTACATATTAAAATTTGAGTTGACTAAAATTCTTTTCTTTTTTTCATATTAAAATTTGAGTCAACTAAAATTCGATTTGAACTGATTTTTTTTTTATGTATTAAAATTTTAGCCAATTTGAACTATTAGCCTTGATTAAAATTCACGTCGAATCGATTAAAATTTATATTTTAAAAAAATTCGATTTAAGTTGATTAAAATTTATTTTTTACATATGAAAATTTGAGTTAATTAAAATTTAATTTTTTTTATGTATTAAAATTTAGTCAGATTAAAATTTATTACGAGTTGATTAAAATTTGATTTGAGCCTCACATAGAATTTTAATCGGTTTAAATTTTAATACTTAAAAAAATATAATTTTTAATCGACTCAAATTTTAATATATAAAAAATAAATTTTAATTAGCTCGAATCAAATTTTAATCAGCCCGAATTTTTGTATGTAAAAATTTTAGAAAATAGAGGGAATCTTATTGAAGATATGTCTATTTGAAGGAGGTGTGAATGAAGTTTTTTCTATATCATGGGCAATTTAGTAAAATTACATTCTAATTAACACTTTTATTCTGACAGAAGGTGTCATTAAAGATTTAAAAAATAGAGGGAGTGTCCTTAAAGATATAATAAACTAGAAGGGGTATGATTGAAATTTTTTCTTTTATTTATTGAGGATTTTGTGGTGTTGTCTATCAATTTTGAATTTTAAATTCGTGAATTAAATAATTTAAAATATATTGGTCATTTATCTTAAGTGTNATTTTAAATTCGTGAATTAAATAATTTAAAATATATTGGTCATTTATCTTAAGTGTTGATTTAGTAGATACACAAATTAGATCGCAGCAATTAAATTCTACATATGCTATTTTGGTGTTGCATAAACATATATGTGACATTAAGCAATTGAATTTGTGTCTATGTTACTTTTCGAAAAAAAGAATTTCTATATGTTGTAGTGCAAATAGAAAGGTATGCACAATTATCTCATCTTCAACTCCACATCTAAAATTGATAATATGTTAATAGTTATATTTTCCTCTCATGATATTTTTTTTTTATTTCACATTGTTGTTATAACATATCAGGTATAGGTGAATAACTTGGATTGAAGCAACTCTTAGATACAACAAAGTGAAAGCATTGCCTTTTAAATTTGTTGAAACAATGTTTCAGCCTGGTAAAAGTCCATTTCTTTGCATTATATTTTTAATAATTTTTGATAAATGAGAAGTGAGAAACACATTCTATTTTATTGAACATTACATATTTTTTTTTTNTTGAAGCAACTCTTAGATACAACAAAGTGAAAGCATTGCCTTTTAAATTTGTTGAAACAATGTTTCAGCCTGGTAAAAGTCCATTTCTTTGCATTATATTTTTAATAATTTTTGATAAATGAGAAGTGAGAAACACATTCTATTTTATTGAACATTACATATTTTTTTTTTTGTTATCTATTACATTCTCTTTTAATAGATTTTGAGGATTGAATGGTGAACATTCAACATATTTCTTTATCTATTTAGGAAAGGATTTGTAGGAGATTGTTATAGAGGGAGGTAGGAAAGTATAAAATTTTGCTTTTGATGAGGGAATGTGATGGAATTTTCAAAGTAACATGCATGAGTTATCGATTTCAAAATGGAAAGCGTATGCAGGAGGGATTAAAATAGTCATTGATTTTTCTTTTTTGGGCAGGTGGAGCTGATTTTTCAAAATCTTCTCTTACCAAACCTCCATGATAGTAACAATATCGTCTATGATTACACAAGTAAAGATGACTTGGTGGCTGTTGAAATTGGCAGGTACTGACCAAAATTTTTGTTTATTTTGGAAGAAAGAAGCTGCTTTGAATTTTTTTAAGAAATTCAAAGGGAGTGCAAAAATCTTGAAAAAGATGGGGACCTTATCATATGTTTATCACTATGGAAGGGGCTGAAAATTGTAGTGNAAAGGGAGTGCAAAAATCTTGAAAAAGATGGGGACCTTATCATATGTTTATCACTATGGAAGGGGCTGAAAATTGTAGTGCTGGTTACAATTTTTTTTGGTAGAAATTGGGTTGTAGTGGGATTGCATATCCTAACTTCTCTTTAATCACTACAAATTTCGCCTCCCACATGCCAAATGGAGAGAAAATTCTTGGGGAAACTTGTACACCCCCACACTCTTATCTTTATATAGCAAGTAATCATTTCTTTTTGAAATGCTAATATGGTAAAACCCCGAATAAATATATGAAATTGTTTGTAATAGAAGTTGTACCAACCCTGTTTGATGTGCAAATGTATGTTGTATAAGTTTGGGATGACCTTGGAAGGATTAGAAATGAAAAATAGAGGAAACAAACATATTCAACAAAAGCGTACCAGTACGCCGAAGACCAATAGTCAGACCGTACCGGTACGCCCGACAGATTTCAAAAATTTTTAAGTCACAAACAATCGGCCTTCTTTCTACTATAAATACATAAAGATGTCCCATTTAGCCCCATTTCAACACTTCTAACCCTAAAAAACCTTAGAGAGCAAGAAAGATAGAGAAAAACACAAGATCAAAGGGGCTTTGCACTTTGGATTGAATTAAAGCCCTAAATTTNTAGGGAAAAACACAAGATCAAAGGGGCTTTGCACTTTGGATTGAATTAAAGCCCTAAATTTCTTCAAGAACATCAAGGTAGAGGTTTTCTTCCTATTCTCTTACATTAAGGTTAGGACTTATCTATATATATATACTTTTTCCTTTAAATCATATGTATATGCTATGAAATCATGATTCCTTGAGATTTTTGCAATCATTATCATATTTTAAACAAAGTTATGGTTATATAACTATGAGATTTCTTTTCTTGTCATAAAATCCTAGTTTTCAAAAGAGATGGATTTTTCTCTTGATTCTTCCTTTGTTCTTGACTTTGAAACCCTAGTGCTTTGTGTTGAGTAATAAAATGATTTTAAAATGATCTCTTGTTTATTTCCTTAAATTGTTCTCTTGTATTACAAATTGTTTGAATTGGAGATTTTGGATTTTCCTGTGTTTTAAAGAAAATGTTTGTTATTGCATCCCTTGTATGGTTGTTGTGATGAACTTGAATTACATTCGAGCACTGTCGTAGAGTGTTAGAGGTAAGTCTATCCTAGTGGGGGTAAGATGATTTTCTAACACTTGTAGTGGTTTTTTGATTGTGAGAACAACCGTTATTGTTCACGTAAGTTCGAGCCTAAGGGTGGGTATACCCTTCCTAAAGTGGTTTGTGTGGTTATGATTGAGTGAATATGGTAAAGTCGTTGTGTAGATTCATGGGAAACAATCAACATACATAAGAATATGGGATGACACTATTGAACGATTATAGTTATTGTGTGCAATTGGTTTCCTACAAGAGCTTGTGGAGGTATGAGACTCTACAAGAACTTGTGAGAAATGGTTTATGGTTGTAAATGATTTGTTAATACTAGAAACAGTTTCCTACAAGAGCTTGTGGAGGTATGAGACTCTACAAGAACTTGTGAAAAATGGTTTATGGTTAGAAATAGTTTATTTTTGAAAAATTCATTTTACTGTTCATTTAAATTATTGCGATTGTGTACACTTGAGATCAAATAAATAGTCACTATTTTATTTCAAGTTATAGATACTATTTTGAAAAATGAGAGCGAACTGTTTTATATGTTTTCTAAACCTTGTTCGAGATTGAGAGAATATTGCTACAGAGTTTAGTGCTCACCCTTTACAAACTATATATTTCTTTCAGATTGTGGTCTAGACGATGAGCTCAGAGTTGAGGAGCTGATACATTGGCAAGCTTCACTAGACGGGCTCGTGGATTCCGAGGTGGACGTCTAGGGTGATACTCTCCTAGGTACTTGACGACANTGAGCTCAGAGTTGAGGAGCTGATACATTGGCAAGCTTCACTAGACGGGCTCGTGGATTCCGAGGTGGACGTCTAGGGTGATACTCTCCTAGGTACTTGACGACAAAATTTCTTTTGAGACTCGATGGAGTCTAATATTTTTGATTATTCCGCTACAACTNTTCCTGTGTTTTAAAGAAAATGTTTGTTATTGCATCCCTTGTATGGTTGTTGTGATGAACTTGAATTACATTCGAGCACTGTCGTAGAGTGTTAGAGGTAAGTCTATCCTAGTGGGGGTAAGATGATTTTCTAACACTTGTAGTGATTTTTTGATTGTGAGAACAACCGCTATTGTTCACGTAAGTTCGAGCCTGAAGGTGGGTATACCCTTCCTAAAGTGGTTTGTGTGGTTATGATTGAGTGAATATGATAAAGTCGTTGTGTAGATTCATGGGAAACAACCAACATACATAAGAATATAGGATGACACTATTGAACGATTGTAGTTATTGTGTGCAATTGGTTTCCTACAAGAGCTTGTGGAGGTATGAGACTCTACAAAAACTTGTGAGAAATGGTTTATGGTTGTAAATGATTTGTTAATACTAGAAACAGTTTCCTACAAGAGCTTGTGGAGGTATGAGACTCTACAAGAACTTGTGAAAAATGGTTTATGGTTAGAAATAGTTTATTTTTGAAAAATTCATTTTACTGTTCATTTAAATTATTGCGATTGCATACACTTGAGATCAAATAAATAGTCACTATTTTATTTCAAAGTATAGATACTATTTTGAAAAATGAGAGCGAACTGTTTTATATGTTTTTTAAACCTTGTTCGAGATTGAGAGAATATTGCTACAGAGTTTAGTGCTCACCCTTTACAAACTATATATTTCTTTCAGATTGTGGTCTAGACGAGGAGCTCAGAGTTGAGGAGTTGATACATTGGCAAGCTTCACTAGACGGGCTCGTGGATTCCAAGGTGGACGTCTAGGGTGATACTCTCCTAGGTACTTGACGAGAAAATTTCTTTTGAGACTCGATGGAGTCTAATATTTTTGATTATTCCGCTACAACTTAAATTTGATTCTTTTGGATGTAATTGTCATGGTTGGACATATTCTTTTGGGATGATGTTATAAATATTAGATATGATGAATGCATTTTTATTTATTGATGAATTATATTAGTTGCTCTCATGATGTGAATGATTTTAAATTGTAATGTCGTCCAAGGTGATTTTTGGGGCGTTACAAAGTTTTAGTATCAGAGCCTAGGCTTTTGGTCTTATATGAGAGCTGTAGGTTATGGATTACCACTAGAGAGATAGGACTAGGTTGAACGAAATTGTAGATTTAAAATTTTATACAAGCCTTATGATTTAGATTAAAGTGATAGTTAGGATGTCCTGTACATAAATGAAATTAAATTGTGAATTGATGTGCAGGATGGAGGGTGAACGTGAATGTGGACGTGGTGGCCAAGAAAACCCACCACCACTACCTCCAGATGCCATGAATGACATCTATCAATGCCTAAGGGAGTTAACCACTCTGGTACAACGCCAGAATAGAAACAACAACCAGCGACGACAGAACTTCGTGAAGGGAGGTTCGATCAGGATTGGTGCTAGCAGAGTGGAGTTATAGAAAGGGTAGCTCCGTACCACCGACCTAATCAAGCTTCTGGACAAAGGAATCAAGTCGTCCGAGTAGCTGGGGTTATTCGGAACAGAACAGACACTGACCCACGTCAATGCTTTGCATGTGGAGGGTTCGGGCACATAAAAAATAACTGTCCATCGATTCCACCGAAGACCAAGCAAGCAACGAAAAAAGTACATGCAAATAAGCCACCACGACAGAAGCCATTATAGCCAAAACCATGAGGAGCTATAGCCCCAGGCGGTACCAAGCAAGAAAGAATTTTTGCTTTGACCCAACCGGAGGAAGACGTTTCCAATGCAATGATTGAAGGTATCGTTCTTCTTTATAATTCTTGGGCCCGAATTTTATTTTATCCTGGTGCTACTCATTCATTCATACGCACTACATATGCTCTTAATTTGAGATTGGACTTTGAGAAGGTTGAACATGCCTTGAGTATTGACATGCCTATGGGAGAACGGCTGAATACTAATNGCATCTATCAATGCCTAAGGGAGTTAACCACTCTGGTACAACCCCATAATAGAAACAACAACCAGTGACGACAGAACTTCGCGAAGGGAGGTTCGATCAGGATTGGTGCTAGCAGCAGTGGAGTTATAGAAAGGGTAGCTCCGTACCACCGACCTAACCAAGCTTCTGGACAAAGGAATCAAGTCGTCCGAGTAGCTGGGGTTACTCGGAACAGAACAGACACTGACCTCCGTCAATGCTTTGCATGTGGAGGGTTTGGGCACATCAAAAATAACTGTCCATCGATTCCACCAAAGACCAAGCAAGCAACGAAAAAAGTACATGCAAATAAGCCACCACGACAGAAGCCATTATAGCCAAAACCATGAGGAGCTATAGCCCCAGGCGGTACCAAGCAAGAAAGAATTTTTGCTTTGACCCAACCGGAGGAAGACGTTTCCAATGCAATGATTGAAGGTATCGTTCTTCTTTATAATTCTTGGGCCCGAATTTTATTTTATCCTGGTGCTACTCATTCATTCATACGCACTACATATGCTCTTAATTTGAGATTGGACTTTGAGAAGGTTGAACATGCCTTGAGTATTGACATGCCTACGGGAGAACGGCTGAATACTAATAGGGTGTGTAGAGGTTGTGTGCTTCGAATTGGGGAGCAAGAATTGATTGTAGATTTAGTTGCATTAGACATGAAAGGAATTGATATAAATTTTGGGATGAATATTTTAGTTTTATATCATGTTATTTTGGACTATTCTAGGAGATGAATGGTAATTTGAATTTTGGTTTGTAAATGACGCTAGGCACAGA